ATTGAGCACAGATAAGAAATACACAACCTTATTACGGTGACCTCACTGGAGATGTTGCACACTTCCTTACCTCTGGCAGCTTCCTGACCACTGCTGAACACTATTAATATGGAACACGATAAAACCTGGCACACCCAGGAAAGTGCTGGTACTGCCTTCTCTGTATTCTCACAGTATGTTTGATAAAACCTTATGGGCAATCCATCATTCAAATGGAGTTCCTGTATATTTCCCTGTAACACACACACACACACACAAACACACACACACACATGCACACACAGAGGGACACAACTTCCTGTGGAACTGTAACAATACAAGAAAGAAAAACATATTTTTCATCCTTATATCCTCTGGTAAAGTGTCCATTTTTCCCCTTTTTAACTGATAAGCTGGTGTGCATTATGAATAATTCACGGAAAATGTCTTCTCCAATCCAGAAAGCTGAGCTTTCTGTCCAAATCCATGCTTCATCTATTTTTGCTCATGGAGCGCAGTATTGGAAATTTCTCCTTATATATTTTTAGTTTGCTCAAAGACAGTTATTATTGTTTTTTTTGCTATTTTATCACTAGCTACCATGACAGCATTCAACAAATAAAATACATTCACTTTTTTTCTCTAGCAAGAATTAGAGAAATATAGGGTTTTTTTCAAATGACTGGATTATTCAAAATTCAATGAGTACTAGGCAAAAAATAAGTGATTATTAGGCATCACATGTAGAGAAATGTTTGTTATTACCTACCTACATCATTGTTAGTCTATTTTTAGTCGTAGAACACAATATATCTTTAAATGAATATTTGTTGTTATGAAGAGACTCTTGTTATAAGTTTAGATTTTTATTTTCAGTACTGTAGCATTTTATAAATAATATATGTATGTACCTTTATCCAAGGAAAATACATTTAATACATGCAGGTCCTGGCCCCTAGTAATCACTCAACAAGCATTCCTGGGAGTTGTTTCTATGACCATTGTTGACAGTTATAGTGGTAACTTGTAGTCATAGACCCTGGGAAAACTTACTGGTAGGTCTGTCCTCATCATCCAGGATATTCTGCAGAACTCCAAGTCTACATTCACAGTGTTAATTTGTTTATCCACCGATCAGAATTGTTTCGGATACAACTGATTATTTTTCAGTTGATGGGAAGCAGGATTTAGATATCTGAAAGCATTTGGAAACTTCATCTCAACCAAAAAGTAAAACTGCTGTCATTGCAAAATCCCTTGACATTGTAAGTACACTGCACATGAGGGCAAAGTAAACAGAGGGAGGATTTTATTTATCATTCCCAAATTCAGGCACTCAGTGGAAAACGACATCATTGTTTCTGCTCTGAAGCTGGAATCCTCCTCACTATTCCCTTGGATTCAGTATAAGGTCCATGCATTGAGTTGCTATGTTCCCATTGAACTCTAGAAAACATTCCGTTTAGCTGCATATATTTTGAGGATATGTAAAAACCTTAGAAAGAGGTTTATTTTCATAGTCTGGGAGGCCAGTGTTGGAAAAGCAAGCCAGTGATGTGATGGAATCATATTTTTGGGTTTTGGTCCTTTTGTTGTTTTTGCCTTTACCAGTTTATTATGCTATTTTTCACTAAGGTTTTCCACTTAAAAAGAGGTGACTACAATCATACCACACATGCATTCCAGGCGGCAAGAAAGGGCAATGGTAATGGGTAGAAGACGTGCTTTAAAGTAGCTTCTGTCAAGAAACCAATGTGTTTCCTGCAAAAATCTTCCCTTAGACCTCACTTGCCTTCTACAACTGGAACTAGATTACAGGGTAAATCCTGAGTGAAAAGGAGCGTGGCAGGTCAGTAACTGACACTGTACAGTGTTAAACTGAAGAGGTGGCAGTTTTCTTAGTGATACAGAAGGAAAGAGTGGACATGTGGATATTGCTTAGTACCCAAAGGGAAGAAATGTTGTCCAGTTTCTCACATTTCTTATGTCTGTGTACAAACACTTAGTCCACCCTGGCTGGCAGAATACTAACTGCCCTGGATAGCAGGATACTAATTCTGTCCTCTAATTGTTCCTCTGCTTTGGGTCACACTCCCTGAAAGGCCTTACAATGGAAATTGTCAAATGACAAATATTTTTTTTCTAGAAAAAGCAATGAAGTATATAATTTAGGTTTTGTGAGCCATATAGCCTTCTGCCCAACTATTCAATTCTGCCACGACAGTGTCCCAACAACGATAGGCAATCTTTAAACAAATGAACGAAGCTGTATCTCAGTAAGACATTATTTATAAAATTGGATGGCTGGCCAGATTTCCCTTGCCTGCCTTTTTTTGATCCTTGTTCTACAACATCATTAGCCTTTTATTTCAAAATCAGAGTCAATATACTATCTTCCATGTTGAGGCAGAAAATATACAATGATTTTTCCCCTCATCAACTTTCACATCGTTTTCTATACATTCAATATGCACTATGTGCTATTAGGATGATTTCTATGCTTTGCTTTATCCATAATGAAGTTTAAACAAATAAACACACTAATAATATAAAATTTCCCATAGTCAGTGTACAGTTTGCCCAAAATTACTCTTTTAATACATTCTTTCCTTAACACACTAGCACGGAGAATTAAAATGTACGGTCCTTTTTTCAACTACTTTTAGATATTAAAATTTTGGCTGTTAGTCTTCCACCTCTCAGTGGGAGAATTTAAGAATATTAGGTGTTCTCATTCCCAAGCTCCTCTGCAAGTTACATATGATAACTTGGAATGTGTAAACACTGAACTATTTTCTCAAATGTTTGTCTGCATCCAAGAAGAATATAATATGGTTTTGGATCTTTGTCCAAATATTTTTTCACTCTCACAGATATGCAACAGTCTGAACAAATGATCTCGGATTTCAGTCTTTTACTTCTAGTCTATCTGTAGGATTAAACTGTCTACTTTATTCCAGTACTTTAAGTAATAAATATGAATTGCATATATGCTTTTTAAAATATGTAACTTCAAAAACTATGAAAATCTGCTAAGTTTTGATGTTTCCCTTAGGGGTGAAAACTTTTCTGGATTTACCTGAGCTTAATTCTTATTCTATTAATGCTTTCTGTAATTCAATTAGTCTATTAAACTTGTAAATTCAAAGGATCCATCACTTCAAAGAAAAATCTTATTTTCTTCTTACTCTGTCCTTGTTTATTCCCTTGAAACATATGTTGTTCTTCTGGTAGCTCTAATAAATATATCCTCTAAATCACATATCATCTTTCCATCACAATTTCCATATATTTTATATTTTTGTTTGGTGATAAGCTGTTCTTCATGCCTAATATATTCTCAAGTACCAAGGTAATGGCTAAGTGTAATTTGTTACCACTCATACCTGTAATCCATATATTCATTTTTTCTGTTATTATTTTATTTAAATTATTTAGTTTTTCTTTTAGAAAAAAGAAACGTAGCTCTGCATTACTGAAATCTTTGCTGTGCCCTCAAGATGTGTCTGGTGCTCTTACTAATGAAACACTTGCTCTAATGTGTGCTCTGCCAGTTTTTCTTCTTCTGGTCCTGGACCTTTTGGGTTATGGATTATTCCTTTGTGCTCCTTGGACTCCTGCCCTTAACAGTAACTTCCCAGTCATGGTGCCTTAGGGCTATCTTTGCCTTCGTAAGATAGCGGAAGATTGGTTAAGGGGTCTTCAATCCTTTGTTAGTGCACAGGAATTTCTGTGCCTAGGTTTCCTCACGAACTCTTGCACACTAAGGTTAACAGTGCCTAGCACGTCAATTTTTCTAAACTGTCCTTAGCAACTAACAAACCTGAATATATTCTGGGGCTCTCCCCAGGCTTGCTAGTGCTGATCCCTGTGTTCTGTCTACTGTGATCCACAGGAATGCTTTCTTCCCTGAGATGCTGCCTGAGACCTAGTCTGGCTTTCTTCTGCTCTCTCCAACAGCTGCAGGAGCCACATGGCCCTCCAAAGAGAACTAAAAGAGGCTGGGAATTTTAAGTCAGCAAAGGAAGAAGTTCTGATTATTCAAAATATTCAAATTCAAAGAGTGATTTAATTAATAACTATAATATCTCTCATGTCAAATAATATTCATATATACATTAAAATTAAATACATAAAATATTTATTCAAATTCAATCTTACACTGTCACAAAGATAGTAAAAATTATTAGAATAGTTGGGTTTTATTTTAGTCACCAGTATTAAATTTCATATATATGAGAAAAGGAAAATAAAATAGACTACAGCACTCTGTGAGTAGTGGAAAAGCCCCGTATTATTAAAGCAGCTTGAAGTCTGGTTCTTAGTACATCAAATACAGCAAAATCCGAGCATTCAGGTGGACTTGCAATTCATTTCTCCTTGTTGTTTCATAGATACATGCATTTGAAACATCTCTTAAGTACTCTGCCAGTTTGCAGATTTTTAAAACTGTATTCAAGTATTTCACAAGGCCTTTGTATATTTTGAAATAAATCAGGCACGGAAATGCGAAGGAATATCTAGAAACTTTTGTTAGTGAAGCAACTACTTCTATTATTAATGTTATTATAATGTATTATGAGTTGTAAGCCTGCAAACATGTTGCCAACAATTCCAGACGTCATGCAGTTTCCACTGTGGACAGAGCCACACTGAAGGAGTTCGTATGTTCTTAATATAAATTAATAATTTGCATGAATGAAATACCATGTCAATTAAGCAAAAACTACAGGAGTTTTTCAACTTATGATCTCTTTGAAATGAAAACATTATCTACACTTACATGTTGAGAAATTAAATTTAATAAATATTGCAATAGCTTCAATGTCCTTTATCACCTATGCAAAAGTATTCACTTTTTCAAGCTTTCCCAGACTTCTACACACACACACACACACAAACTCACACGCACTCACACTCACACACACACTCAGACATTCACAAACTTATTTTCAAGAAGCAACCTTTGGATTTTCAAAAATGTACATTAGTTTCTCAAATATAAAGATGCATCTCCTCACCCATGTCTGACATTTCAGGCACAGTGACGATGTATGGCCCATCTGTGAATTTGGGAGCATTGTCGTTGATATCTTGCACTTTGATGATAAACTCAGATTCGGGCTCCAGGGGTTTGTTGGTCCGCCTGTCGATGGCCTGGGCATGCAGCACATAGTGAGTCTTCTGTTCCCTGTCTAGGCTTTTGGTTGAGTGAATGTCCCCTGTGGTGTCATCGATGATAAATATAGTCCCGGCACCTTCCCCGGTAAGAATGTACTTGACAGAGCCATCACCTTTGTCAGAGTTGGAGTGCAGCTGTAAAACACACACAGGGAGTACATTAGCATGCACATGTGCTCCAACCTCGTGTCACATTCCCTGAAAATTATCCAGAATCAAATGGTCTATGATTTTTACTCTCTGTTGTGTTTTGCATGTTATTATAGTCATTTGCTTGAAGATTGTTCTTTTTATTAATATTTACATGTATCTATATATTTCTTATTGTGATTCATCTGAGAGTCAATAATTAACATGAGTTATTGCTAAGCAAAATGTATTGAAACAAAATGATCTCTTATCATTCTGTTCAATCAAAATTTCACTGATGTATAGGAGTCAGATTGGAAATTCCTACTTCATCATTGTTGCTCTCCATATGTTTTTATTTTATTTGATTTTATTTTTTGGTACCGGAGATCGAACTTGGGTCCTTGCACTTGCACAGCAGGCAGCAAAACCACTGAGCTAAATCTCCGCCCCCCTGCTCTCCATACTTGTAAGAATAATGTGGGAATATTATTTTAGAATTAATTAATATTATATTTGAATCTTAAAACTAAAAAAAATATGGTAGAGCAAATTGAGACTCATATGAATTATGAAAATTTCCACAAAGAATAGGGGAAAGAATAGGAGCCAAGACAGATCATGTAAACGTACAAGATCCCAATGATGAATGTAACTGTATTGTGTACTTAAAGTGTACCAATAAACTAAATGGAAAAAAATTCCACACAAAAAAATATATATCACAGTAATATTAAATTCATAGCTTGAAAAATAAACAATATTTTCTATTATAAAGTTTTATATTTAAAATTAAAAATACTTAGTGGATTTTTTCTTTAGAGATTGTGAAGCTTTAACTAAAAATGTAGTTACTTACAGTAAACTTAACCAATAAATAAAGCCTAATTTTTATTTGAGATACACTGATTTATTCTCAACAACTAAATTTTTAAATTTTTTTAAAATTTATTGGTACAATTTATATCTACATAATAATCACACTCATCAGAGAGAATTTGTACCTGTACATGATATATCTTGGTTCCCCTTCTTTTCCCATCTCCCTGTCATCTCTACAACTTCTCTTCTACTAATTTACACAGTTATGTTTCCATTTTACCCTCCTTTTCTTGTTTTTCTCCCTTCCCTTCTTTTCCTCCCCCCCCCCAGTTCCTCTTTCCTTTTGAACAATTTATTCCTGTTTCACAATGTCTATTATACATTTTGGTCCTTATTTACACTTTCAGATTCTTACACCATAGAGACAGGGTGACATTTATACATATGTGTATGATTTATTTCATCTAAGAGTATAGTCTCAAGGGCCATCCATTTACCTAGAAATGTTTAAAGTTTACCCTTCTGTATGGCTGAGTAGTACTCCACTTTATAAAAAACCCACATCTTCTTTATTTACTCATCTGTTGATGGGCATTTGGGCTGTTTCCAAGATTTAACTATTACCAACTGTGCTGCTATGAACATGGGTGTACATATATTACATATATCACTGTGGTTTGATCATTTTCATTCTTTTGGGAAGATACCAAGAAGGGGAACAGCTGGGGGAAATGAGACCTCTAATCCTAGTTTTTTGAGGAATCTCCACACCGACTTCCACAGCAGCTGCCCCAGTCAATACTCCCACCGACAGTGGAGAAGGGTTCCTTTTTCCCCACAGCCCCACCAGAATTTGTTATTGGTCGATTTCTTGATAGAAGCTATTCTTTCTGGGGTGAGGTGCAATCTTAAAATTGTTTTAATTTGCATCTCTCGAAGGACCAATGATATTGAATGTTTTTTCATATATGTATTTACTGTTTGTACTTTGTCATCAATGAAGTATTAATCTCAGATGTGATTCTGATTTTTTTTTCAATTCTTCATATGTACTAGATATTATTCCTTGGTCGGAGAGACAACTGGCTAAAATTTTTCCCATTCCATGTGTTTTCTTTTTACTCTATTGGTGATATTTTTGGCTGTGCAAAAGGTTTTCAATTGGATGGGATCCCAGTTGTTGGTTGTAGTATTTCCCATACTATCAGAGTTTTGTTAAGAAAGTCTTTGCCTACATCTATGTCTTCAAGAGCTCTACTTATTCTCCATTTGAACATTTTTAATGTTTCTGTTTTAATATTTATACATTTGATCAATTTTGATTTTAATTTAATGCATGGTGAGAGATATGGGTGTAGTTTTAGCCTTTGTCATGAGGAAACCCTGTTTTTCAGCAACATTTATTAAAGAGACCATTTAATGCCACTACTCCTCAAACTCTAATGAAACTGAAAGGGAAGCAATACTCCCAGAACAATTCCTGGAAGCAAATATTACCTCATACCAAAACCAGAGAAGGATCTATCAAAAATGAGAACTACAAGCCAATCTCTCTAATGAACATAGATGTAAATATCCTAAATAAGATACAGTCAAACAGAATGCAGCATATTATCAAGCAGATCATACAACCTGACCAAGTGGGATGTATCCCAGGGATGCAGGGATGATTCAACACATGCAAATCAACAAATGTAATACACTATATTAACAGAGCCAAAGATGAAAATTACATTATCATCTCAATTGATGCAGAACAAGCATTTGATAAAGTCCAACACCCATTCATGATAAAAGTCCTACAGAAAATTGGAATAGATAATCTTCATTTCAATTTGACAAAAGCCACCTATAACAATCCAACAGTCAACATTATATGAAATGGTCAAAAACAGAAAGCTTTCACTTTAGAAACAGGAACAATGGTACTGGCAAAGAAACATACCCGAGGATCAGTGGAATACATTAGAAGTTGCAAAAACAACTTCAGACATACTCAGCCACCTCATCTTTGACAAAGGAGCCAAGCACCCTCATTGGAGGAAAGATAGCCTATTTAATAAATGGTGTTGGAAAAACTGGATTTCAACCTGCCAAAGATTAAAACTAGACCCATACCTATCACCATGCACTAAACTAAGATCAAAGTGGATTAAAGATCTAAACATTAAGACAGAAACACTAAACTTGCTGGAAGATAAGTTAGGTCAAACTCTTGAAGATATTGGCATAGGAAAAGACTTCATGAACAAAACCTGAATAGCACGGGAACTAGCACAAAGAATCAACAACTGGGATTTCATCTTATTGGAAAGCTTCTGCACTGCAAGAGAAACCACCAACAGAGCTAACAGACAACTTACAATGTGGGAAAAAAATTTTAGCAGTTGTAACTCAGACAAAGGGCTACTATCTAGAATATATAAAGAACTGAAAAAAAATCAGACCCCCCAAATTCAAAGACCCAATTCAAAAATGGGCATCTGAAATGAACTGACATTTCTCAGACAAAGAAGTAAAAGCAGCAAATAAACATATGAAAAAATGTTCAACATCACTGGTCATTCGAGAGATGCAGATGGAAACAACACTGAGATTCCACCTCACCCCAGAAAGAATGGCTGCTATCAAGAAATCAACCAATAACAAATGCTGGCGGGGGTGTGGAGAAAAAAGAACCCTGCTCCATTGTTGGTGGGAGTGAAGACTGTTGCAATCACTGTGGAAATCCGTGTGGAGATACCTCAAAGAACTAAGGCTGGAGGTCCCATTTGACCCAGCTATTTCCCTGCTGGGTATTTTCCCAAAAGAATTAAAAGAATCATACCACAGAAAAATAAATAAATAAAAATAAATAAAAACAGGAACAAGACAAGAATGTCCACTACCACCACTCCTGTTCAATATAGCCCTGGAAACATTGGCCATAACAATTAATCAAGAGAAAGAAATAAAAGGAATAAAGTGAGGAAAGGAAGAAGTTAAATTATTATTATTTGTAGATGACATGATCCTCTACATAGAAGACCTCAAAGATTCCACCAAAAGATTTCTAGATTTAATAACCAAATTCAGTAGCACAGCTGGATACAAAATCAACAGTCAAAAATCAATAGCATTCCTGTACACAAATAATTAAAAGAAATTAGGAAACAACACCTTTCACAATACAACACCTTTCACAATAGCATCCAAAAATGAAATGCTTAGAAATCAATCTTACAAAGAAAGTAAAAGATCTCTACACTACAGTACTCTGAAAAAGTATTCCTTCTTCTTGTGTAGAAAGAACCAATACAGTATAAATGGCTATACTCCCTAAATTTTTATATTGATTTAATGCAATACCAATCAAAATACCATTAGCATACCTCACAGACTAAAGAAAACATTCCTAAAATTTATTTGGAACCAGAAGAGACCTAGAATAGCAAAGGCAATTCTGGTCAACAAAGGCAAGGCAGGGGGCATCACAATCCTTGACTTGAAATTATACTGCAGGGTTACTGTGATTTAAAACAAAAAACAAAAAACAAAAAACCAGCATGTTGCTAGCAAGAAAACAGACCTGAGGATCAGTGGAACAGATTAGAAGATGTGGAAATAACTCCTAACACATTCAACAATCTTATCTTTGACAAAGTGGTCAAGCATTCACTGGAGGAAAGATATCTTCCCAATTACTAAATTAAGTGAATATTTTAAAAATATTTAAAAATAATAATTCATGCAAGAACAGATGTTTTAAGCCAAAAAATAACTGACATAATAGAAAATATAAGTAGATTTTGTCATTTAAATGAGTGAATGTTTTAAAATTGCATATAGTTTGTATCTAAGATTATTTTAACTTCTCACAATTCAGTTAAATATTTCCAAGTTTGCCAGTGCTACATTTCTAGCTAGGACTAACTGCTGGATTTTCTGAAATGAAAAATAGATATTTGAAGAGTGTAAACCCCAAGAGATTTGAGCAGTTGTCTTTCACATGAAATCTTTTGGTCACATAATCTCAACTGCTCACCTTTTGGTCATTCCTGACATTGGAAATATTGAAAAAAATTAACCTTATCACATAGCATTTTCAGTTTTCTGACCACACTACAGTGAATTTTATAAAGATACATCTTTAAAGTCTGAACTCTAAGAAGACAATTGAAAAAGATAAAATATAGAAAAAGAAT